TTTCGCTTGTTGACAGAGCTTTCTTACTTTCTGACTTTAGGTTTTATTCTAAAAATTTGACATTTTTAATTAACATTTTACTTGATAATGATTATTCACTAACCTTTATTTTTGACACTGTTAATCAACGTATAAAAAATTTAATTAAAAATAAATACTTGACACATAAAGATTTGGTTAATAATGTCTGTGCGAACAAATCTGCTTCTTGGCTTACGGTACCATTGATTCCTTTTCACACAGAAAAGTTTAAGCGATTTAATAAAAATGACATCAGAGTTTCTTTCAATAGTCCTAATAAAATGGGTAAATGTATCAAAGTACAGAAGGATATTTGTCCCCATACATCTAAGAGCAATGTAGTCTATAAGATATGCAATAATTGTGATGCGTCGTACGTTGGACAGACGGGCAGACAAGTAAAAACCAGAATTACTGAACATCGTAATCATATTAGACATAACACTTCTGTCCGTTAGTCATAATGGAGCACAGGCTACAATATGATCACGATTTCCAATGGGACAAGGTCAAAATTCTAGATGAGGAATCTTGCTATAAGAAACGTTTAATTTCCTAGATGCTCAATATTAAAAAGCAGAAAAACAGCTTGAATTTACAAACCGACACGGAAGGTCTTCATAAGACATATATACCTATGGTAAATAGAGTTTGCGATACCGACGGTCCGTCTCTTCTTTCAGTTCGTGGTGATTCGTATCAGCGAGCGTACACATGAAGCGATACACAATGTCCGGCTTTTCTACGTTTTACTTGTCTTTATATACACTTTATATACGTTTTACTTGTATTATAATAGCCTTTTTTTATACTTACATAGACACACTTGTTTGAACAATTTACATATGTTTTTGGTGAATTTTTATTTCTTATTATAATTCCGTTATGTTAATTTTTTTTGCTTTTTTTTTTCGTAAGAAGTCTTTTTATCAACTAGAACTTTTCCAAGAGATATGATACACTTGCGACTGTGTAATCGTACGTGAATATTGTCGAGTTCTACATCAAAACTCATCCGAATTGTGCATACAATGAATTTGCGAAATTTGCGTTTAGTACTTTGTATTACGGTTTTCTTTTTTTTTCCGATTTGTTTGTCTGAAGAGGGCTCAATCCGGTAACCGAAACTTGTTACTGAATTTTTATTTATTTTTTATTTTTTATGTATTTTTTATTTTAATTATATACTCTCTTCGATTTTATTTTTTTTTATTTGTATTTTATTCTTTTAATTAGATGACTATTTTTTAAAAATGGAATGTGTTGACTCTTATTTTGCCCTTTATTCATTGTTATTTATTTTATATAAGAAGAGTTCTTCAATTTGTTAAAAACAATAATAGACATATTAAAGAAACATTTTACATACCATAAAAGTATTAAATGTATAAATTATAATATAATACAATTTGGAAGTAAATAAAACATATTTATAACACATGCATATAATAAAACGTTCAATTAGTAAATATTATATATAATACGTAGGCTGCTGGAAAAGTTTCTGCAAACAATATGAAAAAAAACATGTAAAATTCAGTAAATGGCTTTATTGTTTTTCGAAGTATTCGCCTTTAAGATCGATACATTTTTGCATACGCTCGAACCAATTTTTTGTTCATCAGGTGAGTACGAACAATAAATCAATTCGACATTATTACTGGATAACAAATTAACGGTTTGACGTGCTGTGTGACAGCTGGCGTTGTCATGATGAAGGATGATGCGACGATTTCAGTTTGTTCTACGCAATTCATTTATGACTTCTAGCAAACAAATTGTTGTATACCAATCAGTATTTACAGTCCTTCGATCCTCTAAAGCCACGGTTGTCACACATCCGCTATAACCAAAGAAACAAGCAATCATTTGCTTGGCAGCACTGTGTGAACGAACAACTTTTGGTTTCGGTTCATTTTGAAATACCCAAACAGTGAATTGTTGTTTACTTTCGGGCTCATACGAATAGATCCATGTTTCGTCCCCAGTAACGATGTTGTAGACCAAATTTGACCGACCTTGGTTGAATTTCTTGAGCATTTTTTTGCTCCATTTAACACCTGTTTTTGAGCTTTGGTAAAATTGTGTGGGATCCAACAACTGCAAAGTTTCCGTATGCTCAAGTGATCATGCAAAATCGTATGTATTGCTTTCATGTCAATGCCTAAGAATGCCTGAATCTCGCGGTATGTTATATGCCGGTCTCGCTCAATCATTTCACACACAGCATCAACATTAGTGGCAACAACAAACGTGGATGGACGACTTTCACGGAATTCATCACTAAGAAAGGTACATCCACGCTGGAATTCGGCAAACCAATTATAAACAGTCCAATTGGATGGTGCTTCATCCCCAAAAGCCAAATGAAGTCGATCAATGCATTGTTTCGGAGTTAGATTACATTTGTAATCGTAAAAAATCATTGCCCGAAAATTTTCTCGCGAAATTTTCATTTTCTTACAAAATAACTTCTTTTAAAATACTATGCAAACAAAACTAGTTGGCTTGGATATAAACTATCAATTGAATTATAGGTTAAAAACGTCTAATTTTACGGATATGATAGTAGCAGAACATTGGCGTCACAGGAAGTACTAGATTGCAGAAACTTTTCCAACAGCCTACGTTTAATTATATAATGCACTTTGAAAACAGCATGCAATTAATAAACATATATAAGAAATGGAGTTAAGGAAAGATGTAAACAGTAACGTTCACATAACAGTTTATACCATGAAATACATTTTATTGACCAATTCTTTTTGAATCATATCTCAGCCACTTGATCCACGTCGATATAAACCAAAGAAGAAGAAAACCAATGAAACTTATCAAAAATGCAATAAAATAATTACAATAATTATAATGGGATCATAAACCATAAATTACAATTAATATGTTATGAAAACAAGGCTGTAGATAGAAAACGCAACAAGTTAAGAAGAATTATAAATGTAAAATATTTAAAAGTTTTCTATTCTTTTGAGTAATTGTTTTATATGACTTATTATGTTACGATAATGTGTAATAAATACGCACCCGGAGAAACAATTTTATTAAGAAATCTTTTGGAAAATCTGGACATGGTGGTTCAAAAGCTATATTTTGTGTCAACTGGGACAGATAATTACAAATATTTTTTTATAATAATTTTTTTCAAAATTTTTGATAAGATATTTCTTCTAATTTGTGAATGTAGTAACAAAAATCATTAGTTGATATTTTTAAATTACCAAATAAATTTTCCATTTTCATTTTTGTAAGCTCAAAAAGAACAGCGTTGTATCTAAGACAGCCTTATTGTCATTTACAAAATTTTGACACACAGCACATAAATGTATTGCTAAACATTTTTTTACTAAAAAGCCACAAACATATTTAAATGCATTTTCCTCTGGCAGGATCCATTGAGTAATAATCATGTATAGGAGTTTTTTAAATTTTATTCGTTGACGATGGAACAAGTTCTGAAGTTTTGGACGTCTCTATAGTATTTGATGTTCCGATAATATTTAATAAATCATCATTATCGTTTGCACAATTTTGCATTTCCGAATGTTCTAATAATTTTGTACTGAATAATTTTTTAAAAGCACGCTTGAATTGTATAGGTGTTGGATTAAGGCAATTACCATCTTGTTTCCGAATAGAGCCAAAAAATTTTTCAACACTTGATTTAATCTACGTGTTCGGAGATATGAAAAATTACAGTTTTTTAAAGTCGTCCAAAATTGAATTGTACTCTTAATTGTGACCAGCAATCAAAGTATTTTAATTTTACATACAATATTTATTGTTATCGTTAATTATTTTAATAGACTTTAAAAAACTCAACATGTTTTGTGAAAATTGCATTTGTTTATCACTTCCAATAAAAATTTTTCCATATTCTTTAGGATTATTTACATTGGATGAATTTAATATATTAAATAATTTATCAAAGTGATCAATAAAGTCTATAGTTCCAACTGCTTCAGCTAGAAGAAAACCAGAAGACATCTATGTGCACATGTCTGCTGCTACACGATTACTAAATATTTGTGCAGCATATTTAACTTTCATTCTTAAAAAGTTATTTGGTTCTATATAAGACTTTGTTAATGCAGAAGCTGCTTTTATTCATTGTTTGCTGTCTTTTTTGTAAAATTTTATGATATGATCCCACGAAGCTATTTTATTATCTATTTGAAAATTATATTTTAATAAATTGTTTCGAGTTGCTTTTAATAAATGTGGAGTGTCAAAAATATATACAAGTCTTTCTCCATCAACTACAAAACTTAAATTATGTAAACCGAAATATGTAACATATGGGATAGTTGGATAAAATTTAAACCCATATCAGAAATAAAAGCATGCACCAAAGCACCATTGTTTTTTAATTTTACAATGATGTTAAATATAATATTTAAAAAAAATGTAGCAGGACATGCAGTTTTTATAAAGCAAAAACAAACGGGCAGTTTCCAGTTTCCTGCAATGCTACGTGCCATTATAACTAATGTACTTTTTGCGGGTACAGATGTTTTCCTATTACCAAAATCTTCAGAATCAATTATCTCATCCCGCGATACATCATAAAATAAAAAGCTTTTTAAGTTTATTTCATCTGCGCATAATACGCAATGGTGCTTTATTAATGGTAATGTATTCAATTTTACTTTAAGTGCTTTAAAAAGTTCATCATTTATGCCAGGCACAATATTCTACTTTTGTGTAAATAATTCTGGAACGTAGTGAAGGCAATGCAATAGTTTTCTTCAGTTGTTTATAATTTCTTAGACTTAAGAAATACAATGACAAAGCGAATTTTTTAAAATCGTAATCATATCTTCTGCCACGTTTGTTTTTGCATTGTGCATCAATTTGTGCTGCTAATATTTCATTAAAGCTTTGCGATAAAAACTTACGGCCTAATTTTTTTAAAGTTTCTTGTTCGTTAGTTTCTTTGACTTGTATGCTCTTCTTCTTTTCCTTCAAACGGAGTCGTCGATTTCGCGGAGCATTTTGTTCTGTGCCTGTAATTTTAAGAGCTTCAAATGCAGCTTTTTTTTTCTTAGGCTATCCTCTGACGATTTCATGTCCTGTTTTGTATCCTTGGATGTACTTCTGAAATAAGTTTAAATTTATAGTAAATATTGAGAAAAAATTTATTATTCTAATAGAAACGAATAGTAAAAGATTACTAAATAAAATACAAGAATATGAAGAATTAAACTATATTATGTTAATGTACGTTAGCGTGCAATATATTGCATATTCTAGTAGCTTTATTTCATATAAAAACTTTATTTCATATAAAAACATCGGTAGTTTCTTTTACTCTTTCAGACACCGATTTTATTTGAGTAAATTTTTTTTTACAATATAATCTTTCCAAATATTCCTGACAAAGAATTTTGTGTATCAAATAAAATTATTCTTTTAAAGGTACATAATCATATATATTTATATTTATATATACACTCCAGCTACAAAATTACAATTAAATATTGAAATTAATAATAAACATGATAAATCAATCTTATATTTTAAAGTAAAAAATAAGAAACTACTAATTGTTTAGATATTTTCAATAATATGTATACAAAATGAATAACCTGTTACACAAAATCAAGTGTTAGTGGATTTGCTCTGCAAACAATCATCATAATGGCTTATTTAGTGAGAATACTTTTATTTTTTAAGTTGGAACAGCAATTCTAATTGCAACTAGTAAGTATGAATTATACAAAAAAAATCACTACTGTGTCAATATAAATAATATTTGGGAAAAGTTCTAAGTGAATGTGCTACACTGGGCCTTACAGGGTTAAATAAGTAAAATTTAATGAAAATTAATATTAGTCTACACAAATATAATAATAAAAAATCTACATTCGATTTAATGTAATTTATAATAAATTAAGACTTACGGTTTAACTGTCTCAGCATCCACGTTATCAACAATAATTGGCTGTGTTTCTGCAGATTCCATACAGCTGAAAGTATAAAATTTTGTTACACACTAAATCCCTTATTAAAAATATAAAAATATTATTTATTACCTGTTCTTTTCCTGTGTCTTACTCGCAGGTTCTCCATCTATGTTTCTGCAACAAATATATATGATATAACGTTACAAGATAAAATATATTAATATATATACAAAATAAAACTATATTAATATATATATAGAAAAAATTACTTAAATATAAAGTATTGTATTTCAATATAACATACTCATTTGTTTCTACTTCGATTTCGATTTCCATATGTTTCTCCAGATGC